GCTATAATTGCATATATTCATGTACAAGCAGAAATGTGAAGCTATGAATTGATATCAAATTGCTTTTATATGTTTCTCAAAGTAACTTGATGTATTTCAGAACAAAAGAATACATTAGAAATAAAACAATAGATATAATAAGAAATAAAAAACAATGAAATACATAAGAAAATAAATAGTTGAAAATCGCATCAAATTTGCATAAATTATCATTATTAATTACTTCAAATAACTTTTTTGTGATAGAAAAGAAGTTTCATATGAGTAATGAGTATCAACATTCAAAAAGTGGAGTCTGACAATTTTTGTAAGGATTCTAGTTCCCTATATATATTTCCAGATTTGATATTCATGAATGCGTATTCATAATTTATGCAAATTAACCTATGTATTTTCAAATATCATAAAAATAATGAAACCTCATGAATTTGAGATGAAGGAAACATTTATTCAATACATTTTCAAGATTCTTCACAAGTCTACGGAAAAATATGTAGAGTTTTCTGTAAAATCCATAAAATTAGCATTTTGCATAATTAATTAGGCTATAACGACAAAATTTTGCATATTAGCAAAAAACTAATTATACCATCTTGTTCCTTACGTAAATATCTACAAACTTGCAATTTTTCGCGTTCATCGGACATTCGACGGCCGAGATCATAGGCCCCCCCCCCCCATCCCCTAGTCAGAGAGTGCTCGAAATAGCCCAGTACAGTAAGGGTTAAAGGAAACCTCACCCAAATAAATTAGGAGAGATTTATTTTATTCTGGCTCATTAATCTTCAAGATTCCCCAGATTCCCCAGAAAAGCAAAAATAATGTACAGTTTCTCAGAACGACATGCATGGGCATCGTCATTTTCTTGATAACGTGAGGCACCATGTGATAGTGTGAAGTCGTTTATCAAGTAAATGTATTCAAATTAATGGAGGCTTCCTGCTATTATCCTTTGTACTACAATTGCTAGAAAGCATATTACATAAATATATTGGTGCTCTTCTGGGGTCAAGGTTTCTCATAAATGAAATAAATTTGTTAACTGCTATATTTTAGTATTATTAAATGAATTGGTTATAGTTATTCCCCTGTTATACATGTCTCACCACAAATAATTTCTATCTTCTCAGCTACGACTTTTTCCTCATTGAAAAGGTTTGTTATTGATATAGAAAGTCTTTCCACCTAAAGCTTGGTGCATGATATAAATGTACAACTTCAACTGGTACGTCACATTTTCAAGAAAATAAACGCGCCCATATCATGCCAAGAATATCTTTATTTATATATATATATATCTCTTGTACATTTTCGTGAGAAATATTGTATATCAAAGGGCATGAATTCATCTAATTTTTTAGAATACCTAGTAACCTACACTTATTCTTTAAGGGTGATGTTTCCTTTGAGTTTAACAGATCAGGAATCACCCCTATATAGCTAGCTGTGTGCACCACGAACTCTACGTATACGTTTCCCACGATCCAAGCTTGAGCTCTGGTATGGGAATTGTATTTTGAGAGAAAATTGTTATGATTTATTCTGGATTGTTTATCTAACTGTAGATTGCGGGTTGTTTGAACCAGTGAAATAAAAACAAATGCACAAAAACTTACTAGGCATCATCTTCGATAAAAACCACAACTCCCATTTTGCACATAGTGACATGTAATGGTGTCATATACGGTCACTTTACATACTCTACATGTTATACATCTGCATGGGACTAAGGGAGGGGGTGACTTTGAATCGGTCCGCTATTAGCGCTCAGAGAAAGTTCCCTCGTAAACGACTACATGAAGGTTGAAGAGCACGGTCTAATTCATCGAAAACAATTATATTTCATCAAAAGTTAGATGGCTACGACCATAGTGGACTAGTCATCTTACAGACGGTCAATTTCCATACTCTTAGTGTTATACCTTGGAAATATACCTTGGAAGTAGGCATTTAAAGTTAAAAACTTATTTGCCTCTCGTTGACATTCGGATGAAGAATCCATATTTTGACACATGTTTAGTGGCGCTATACAGCAATTGACGAACATGGACAAGTGAAGGAATCCTCTGGGTCAAATTAATCTTTTCTTGACGACCAAAATTTCAACAAATTGGATTTAAAGCTGTTTAGTGACTTGTTCTCCACAACTACAGAGGAGAGGTTGTTCCATTCATTGATACATCTCTGTGAAAATGATCGATGTCGAACTTCGAGTAGACTTTCTTCTTAACGATCTTGTATCGATGGCCACGGGTTCTATTATCAGTTGGATGGTCAAAGAAGTGTGCTAGATCCAGTTCATCTAGGCCATGCATTATTTTGTATATCTGTATCATGTCTGCTCTATGGCGTCTGTAGGCAAGAGATGGTAAGTTGAGATGTTTTAGTCTCTTCTCGTAACTCAAGTGTCGTAGCATGTCTTAGAACTTCCTTTACTGTATACCGGTGCACACGGGTAGTCGCTAGAAATAGTCCAATAGTTCTTTGTTCTCTCAACCCATGTGTTCTGGGAGAAGCAAATTCCAGTCATTCTGAATGTCGAAGTGATGCAGTAAGGTCCGAATTACATAACATTGCAGCAGAAAATTTTATAGTTATTTTGTGGAACAAACTACAGGCCCAATTCGGTAAGAATACGATACTGTACTCATATCACACTTGTGATTAGCACACTGACAAGACTCCAATTTTAATACTTTTTAATACTTTTTAATACCTTCTGAATGGAATTTGTATTGCATTTTATCACAATTTTTCAATATTACAGTTAATTGAACTCATATATCTATAAACATTGTACTTTTTTGGCTAGCAATATTTCATTTTTTTTTTGCTGTTGTTATTGTCACTACTTTAATGTTTTGATTTAAACATTTATTCATTGTTATAAATTTGTTCTCTTTTGCTATGTTATCTTTATATATATGTACATATGTTTTTGAATGCTTTTTATATGATTGTTGTAAACTTGCATCTTTAGTCTGTGGACTTTTTGACAAGTCATGAATAAAACCTTATTTGAATCTCGAATCATATGTTATTTGATATATACTAGAATGCAAGGATATATCTTAATATAATCTCAGCTAAGTTTGGTAGAATTTTATATGAGTTTCGTAAAGATGATTAGATGTTGTACCTTTAGGAGTAGACAAAGAGATGAGTGTGTATATTGTATAATGTACACAACATATTATCAAGCCCTCAAGATTTGGGTATAATATTGCAATAGAAAAGAAATATATAACATTGTCCATGTCAATTGTCATGCTGTAAAATGCCCCCCCCCCCCTCCCCCCAATTACAGGTTTAACTGTGACCATGGTCAATTAACAAGTTTCTTATCGAAATTCATCTTGGGTGCATGGCTCTGGCAGGATCAGGAGTGGGCAGACTAGCAGGTGTTCCATTACAATTGTCTGTTCCCAGCCGCATTCGGAGCTAGGTCCTTAGCTCCCATAAAGGAGCTGGCCAGAGAAAATATTGACCAGGGATAGAGTAAACTGTATTTTGACCATGGCTAGTGGCCTCTTGTATGTTATTGATTTTTAATGGTACATGTACTTCGGACCAGTTGCTTTGTGTAGGGACTTGTTTGTCGATGAGATTTGTGATATATAGGAGTGTAATAAATGCATAGAAACTCGAACCAAGTAAGTTAAGACGGTTAGATTTTTAGGAAAAGGGAGATTGGTATTAACTTTAAATGTCAATGAATGAGGCCTTAGTTCTAAAACACTCAGGTACATTTTGTAGGTATTGAATGTTACATATTTAGTAAAAATACAATACATGTTGTATAACTCTTAGATATTTTAGAATGACGTAATAATCAAGAAAGTCAAGATAGTTTATAAGCTAACTCGATCAAGGTGTTTATTTAATAGTCATTCACTAAGAAATATGGGTGCAATTGATGGGGTGCAGATTTGCATTCACCTACTCTCTAAAAAAAAATCGAGTGATCACGGACGTCACTCCACTGGAGAGTGAAAATGTAGTGAAAATAGAGTGAACATTCACTCTTTTCTTCTTAGAGAGCACTCTAAAAATCGATTTTTACTCCTAAACAAGTGATCACGGACGTCACTCCCAAGAAAGTGAAAATAGAGTGAAAATTCACTTCTTTTTTTTAAAGAGAGTACGTTTATTTGGCAAAGGGTGCTGCTATTGTACGTAGCAGAGGGTACGTGCTGATATTGTCACAGAATTGTACCTTTATTTCTTAGTGTGCATAGTATAGATGTATAGGAAAAGTTAGTTAGTTTCCCGGAGGTCTCAGCTAAAACAAAGAGATAGTATCTCTTTGGTCAAATATAAACACTGTAAGCATTCGTGACCTACATAGAAAACGCAAACAAAGGGGTGATTTTCATAGATCGGACGCGATCCGCGCGGTGCCGCAATAAGGGGTTAAAACGTCCACTTTGGGCCATCTTCAAGAAAAAGGGTACTTTCTTTTAAATGGTTCAAAATTCTGATGTACGCGCCGGTATACGCCGGTAGCCCTCAGAGCCAGACCGGGGAAGAAAAAAGAGGGTAATAATTGCCCATTAGCGAGACCGATCGACGCCTACGCCCGTCTCCTAAGCTAGTTATATATCAAAGACGATAGACGTGCGGCGCTCTGTTTATCTAGCGCGATCGAGTCGGTAGCATTTGAAAAACCAACCATTCTCTGATAATTAAATCCGTTTGTCGATTTCCATGTTTATACATGTAGGCAGGTGTCCATTCGGTGCTCATGGTCAGTGTTAGGTATAGAGCCACTTTGCGCTTCAGTAGATCAAGGTGGATGCCCACAATACCGACCCAAACCTACCAAGTCTCACACTTAGGCCTAAAAAAAGATGTTGTATTGCCCTTTAGGTGCCAAAACATGGGTCGGTCGGTCGGAAATTTTTTTTTTTACTTTTTTTTTTTTACTCCCTATTTCTCAGTTTTGAATGCTTTAATACATTTTTTTCTTCTAAAAAACGGTTAAAAAAAACTGTTTTAAAAAAGCCGACCGTAGATTTCAAGATTTTTGGGTCTGTCGCAAAGGCCAATACAACATCTTTTTAGGCCTTATAGCTGGTCCCTTTAATTATATATTTTGTGTTTGCATAGTAAAATAATATTTGTTCAATCTACAGTATGTACTTTTTGTAAACACCGCATATACTTTATACAAAACGCATTTAGATATTTATATATTGTGCAAGTCACTCACGCTCTAGTGCACTCGAACGTGATTATTTTTAGACCGACGACAACTTCAATTGTATTCCCTATCACACTCCAAAATGCTCAAGGTGATATTTTACAATACTCGTTTAGGAGTCCTCTTTTATGAAATACCCGTGTAGTGTGTGTGTATTCGGTGAAAAACACGCGAAATCCCCATTTAGGGTGTATATTGGCTACATTTCTGCTTTGTCGCTGAATTCACACAACAACGGTGAGGTAAGCACACATAGAATTTTATTTTCTATTGATTCCATATTTTGCTGCATGTTTATCTGCTGGTAGGGCCTACAATGCAAGCGTTAAATTGGATTTTTAACAGTTTAAAATCCAATTCTGTTCACGTTAAAGATAAAGGTGAGTTCTGGTAATGCGATTGCGTTGCGTAAGAAAAGGTGTGGAATGGATCAGATAAAGTTTATATTGTAGCATGTAAGTATTTGTGTGCACTGCAAGGTTCTGGAGTCATCAAAATCATAATAAATTTGGCCCAGTCTTGGTAAAGTAACAAGCACTGTACACGGAAAGATGTATATGGGACTACACAAATGGTGTCGGGGCTAGTACTACCTTGATTTTCATATCTTTCTACGCTCATTACTCAGCCAGTATACATTTTCTTCCGAAATTGTTTGGCACGTGAAATTTATTTGTAATCTTGAACATTCAGTGTAAATTTCGTTTGATTCTGTGAGAATTCTTCTTTTTTTTTTTTTAAAATCTTTAAAGGTACTATGTCCCTTTTGCAGCCAACCTCCAATTCTGTAGAACTTTGCAGGACTTATGAATATATCATGTATGTCCTATCTTTGAAATCTAAACGTTAGCAGTGTCCTAATATTCAAATTATTCAAGTAAACCCGTTTACTTGCTAGACTTCACTGTCAGAAACTATTGAGTGACTGACTTGCTTTTTTTCTTCTTTGGTAATAGCATACATAACATAAGCTGTAAAGGGTACATTAGCATTTTTCTACATCAATAACCCACTTCTTGTGATGGCCAAAATTAAACTGATTGAATCTTTGCGCAGCATAAACCGTATGACCATTCGGTACAATGGCCTGAAAATCAAGACTATTACTTTTTTCTTTTTTTTTTTTTTTTATTTTTTTTTTAGCTCGTTCTTATATAGCGCTTTTCAGGACCGGAGGCCCTCACAAAGCGCTTTACAGATAAGTATATTATTACCCCGGTCATTGGATTCAGGCTTACCCGCACACAATGTATGCACATTCTCCACTCCCTGGGGAGCATTCCAGCCAGGCGTCATTTTTACATGCGCACACTTGCTAATCTATCCACATTAGCTTTCGCATCCTACCGGGTACCCATTTAACACCTGGGTGGAGAGTGGCAAATGTAGATCAATGTCTTGCCAAAGGACATTAGTGCTGCGGCGGGACTTGAACCACGGACATTGTGATCCACAGTCCGGCGACTTATCCACTCGTCCACAACACCTTATTGGCTCTATAGCTCCTAAGTCGATTTGACAACTAATAGTCGTTATTTTCCCACTTGAAGACATTTTCAAGCCCCACCTTTTTTTGGGAAGTTCTAAATTAGTATCATCTTTTAAATGCCGTTGGAATTTAACCTTTTCATTTTTTTGGCCTGCAAATGGGACATAGTACCTTAAAGCGCCTGTGAGCAAACATCTTAAATTCATAGATCTCTATGCTAGAATGAAATGCCTGAGCTCAATCTTGGAGCTTGACCTACTTCACAATCGTTCGTACAGGACGTTTGTAGCAGCAGATATTTGGGGCACAAATGGTCGACATGGGATGTGGTTCATTCTTTTTTTTTATAACTTTAAAAACAGTATATCTTTTCAAAATGAACGAATTTTTGTTCACTTTTCGTCAAAATGTCATCAAACTGATTCCTGGATTTTTCTTTCACATCTCCACACACTACCACCCACATTTCTAACTTATCCTCATTAAACTGTGTTAACGAAGATAAATTTATCTTCATTTAACAACTAAATGAGGATAAATTTATCTTCTTTTAACAGCTAAATGAGGATAAATTTATCTTCATTTAACAGCTAAACGAAGATAAATTTATCCTCATTTAACAGCTAAACGAAGATAAATTTATCTTCATTTAACAGCTAAATGAGGATAAATTTATCTTTATTTAACAGCTAAACGAAGATAAATTTATCTTCATTTAACAGCTAAATGAGGATAAATTTATCTTCATTTAACAGCTAAATGAGGATAAATTTATCTTCGTTTAACAGCTAAATGAGGATAAATTTATCTTCATTTAACAGCTAAACGAAGATAAATTTATCCTCATTTAACAGCTAAACGAAGATAAATTTATCTTCATTTAACAGCTAAACGAAGATAAATTTATCCTCATTTAACAGCTAAACGAAGATAAATTTATCTTCATTTAACAGCTAAACGAAGATAAATTTATCCTCATTTAACAGCTAAACGAAGATAAATTTATCTTCATTTAACAGCTAAACGAAGATAAATTTATCCTCATTTAGCTGTTAAATGAAGATAAATTTAACCTTATTAAACTGTGTAAATGAAGCTACCGAAAAACGAAGGCGACCACGTACGGCGAACTCGTCTTCTTCTTCTTCGTCGTAGCCATTTCGAAGAAAATTCAAAACGCGTACGTTATAAAAGGAAAAATTAACAGATTATGGACAACGTAACCGCGAGTGACGATGTCGAATCGAAGAGTGATCTTAAATCTGGTGCTGGCCGCGCGTGTACCATAATATGTTGTTCGTGCCCAGACTTTGTATACTATTAGACAGAGCTCTAGCTGTTTACAAACAACGGACGCATTGCCCGCGCTCGGCTATTGTTCTCTTTGTTCTCTCTTTGGTTATTGCTAGTCTGCAGACACAGACCCTTGACAGCCATTATGAGTAAAAACAATGTCTAAATTTCAAACATGAAAGTACTGAGTTATGTCATGTAGCTGCTTCTGACACAGTGCAATACTGGAAAAGAAACATAACACCTTAAGCAGAATCTGATAGTCCTGATTATTTCATGTGGTTTTATTCAAGAGTAAAGTTGAGTCTGTGTTTACAGACTAGGTTTGAGATGGTGAATAGATAGAACTAATAATCCCCGTGCGACCGGCTATCGACGGTCTTGGGAGAATTTGGGTGTATCATCTCTCTGGTGTATCTGTACATGGAGGTAAATGGGTGTATCATATTCGTAAAATGCAGACCTTTTAACAATCTATCAGGGTGGTTACTTAATTCGCAAAAATTCACCTTTCAGAAAGAAAACGTGCATTTTTGCTAAAATTAGAAGACAAGACACAGGATGGGGCTGCATTGGGCTAAATAGGCCTATATAAATTATAATGTTTAATATTATCAGGGAACCAGCTGTGTGCCCGGCCGCAAAAAATATATGAGCAATATTATCTTTAAAAATGCAAATACATGTATTTCACTTTGACTATTAAGAGCATAAATCGGAGGGAAAGATGAAAACAAACGATATTTATTTTATGTGCTTGAAAACTTGACTTTTCTGACTTTCGCTGAATATCCGTGTTTAAAAATTGTAAACTTGGCAGAGTTTAGAATGGGCCATTGGACAGCATACGGTCTGGATATGTAATTTCTTTCTTGTTCAAAATCCTAATCGATGTTTTGTGGAGTTCATCGGCATGAGAAACTTTCTTTAGTTACAAACCAAAGCATGATAATTATGATCGATGCCCCATAAGAAGTGCAACTAAATCGTTCGGAAAACCATGCCTAAAGTATAAACCAACTGCAATTATGTACGAACATGTAAAGACATGGCACCTAACCGAAGATAGGCCTATATACTCCTCCTATAGAATGCATTCGATATTATGAACTTCACATGATTGTTGGTAAATAATATAGTAGGCCTATATCATTCATAATAGTAAAAAAAAAATGAAACACCCATTTGGTTTCATTCAAAATCTATATAAGCCCATAATTGTTATGGGTCACAAGTCCCCTTGAAGTTGACGAGCATGTCATAGAACGTATACCGAGACACACAACTTTGCATGAGATTCCTTGCAAATTCTGATAGGTATAGGCCAATATAGTTTTCAAGTTTACTGTTCATACAGGATATGCCATTTCCGCCTATTTTGACGCTAAATTACTACACATTTTAAACAAATAATAATAATAAAAAACGCAAGAATGGCCGTATAATAATAGGTATGGGGTTTGGGGTTTGGCTACGTCAGCGGCCCCCGCCCGCCCCCGTCGTAGGCCTTAATACACATTTCATTTTGTTGTACCAAGGCTATCATGATTTTAGGAATTTTTTTTATTCATGCAGCAAAGGATGGGGGCACGAATGGCGGCCCAAGAAAGATTGACACATTTTCTATGAGCATTTTTCGTCGAGGCACGGGGGCCGGGGGGGGGGGCACGGCGGGCTGGTCAATGTCCGGCCCCTGGATCCGCCAAACTTCTTCATGTTTCCACGAGTCCATGTGATCGCTGCCATCGCAACGCGCCCCTGGTTGACCTTTTTGTGAATTTGTATTCATCTCTGCTTCAGTGTGGGTTTATAATTAATATTTTCAGAGTTAAAGAGCCAAAGAGAGAGAGAGAGAGTTAAAGAGTCGGGTTGGGTTTTGCGGCTTCAGCGGTACATCCCCGTCTGTACCAAATCTGAGTCCCCCCCCCCCCCCCCCCCCCCGCGCCGGCCGGCCCCTCCGGTTCCCCAGCACGGAACCTCATGAGTTACATCTCTTAGGTCAATGGGCTGTATATAATAGTGAAGGTACTATGGAAATTGGAAAAGCACCAGACGGGGGCTGATCAAAGATTTCCCAACAATAATAATTATGAATAAGACGCCTTGAAATGTGAAAATCACGCAAATTCCAGGGATTCCCGATTATTATTATTATTGTTATTATTATTATAACCATTAGAAGGGGTCTAGTATTAGTATTTTAATAGTAGTAGGAGTCCAAAGGGGCGGTGGTCGGGGGGGGGGGGCGTTCCCTCTCAATTTTCTTTTAGAGGCGGGGGGGGGGGGGGGGGTCGCTCCCGCCGGCAATTTTGAAAAAGTGCACACAAGAAGCTCTGGAGGGCCCAAGAATGCAGCGTTTAGACTCAGAATTCAGCCTTTAAAATTATTTGCTATTGAGTCTAAGCGCTGCATTCTTGGGCCCTCCAGAGCCTAAAAGTGTGTTGCAGTCTTTAGTCAGTA